TCTATCGTACCGGCTGCGAGGATGAGTATGAACGAGACACCCTATGCACGTACGTATTATATTCCCTTCTAAACGAAGCATACTAAAATGTGCAGTACATGAAAGATTTCAATCAGCTTGGCATTTTACGGTAAAATAAATGTTGTTCTGTTCTGTAAATATGTATATTTATTTACCAACATTAGCGGAAAAATATTTATTTACATAGTAATATTAGTCGACCCTGTATCGGCGCAGGTTTGGCCCAGTTGCCGGCGCGCTCTGTGACCCCGATAGTTGCGCAACGTAGATAACCTATATACGAATAGTACGGTGCTAGTAGACCCGATACAAGCTTATGTAAAGTCCGTTAGCTGATTAGTATCATATCGTCGTGAGTAGTGGCTAATTGGTTGTTTGCTTTACCACCGAGCTCAGCGATAGATACAGCGTGTTTGTTAATGGTTGTCTTAACACGTTTAAAATCGCAGATAACAAAAAAATACGTTTATATTTGAGGAATTTTACATTTACACAAGTATGTCTGTTCAAATAACGTCTGGAGGTATGTAAAGAAACTATGAATGTTTCAAGTTCAAACTGATCGCATATAAATAGCAGACATGTCAACAATGTGTCTGCGAGCGCTACACTTTCGCGAGGAGGCGAGCTCGTTAGCGAAAGTGCAAATCGCAAAGGTGACCCACATCGGCGGCTTGTAGACGCTAGTGGGGTCACAAGTGTGCGGGCTTGTTCAATTTTTTTGCGAATTGTCGAAAGCAAAAGTGGCCGTCGTGTGGGCGAGCAAGGTCGCGGAGCCGGTCACCGACCCCGCGTCTCTCCTTCCGAGAACTGGCAATGCATCGCTTCCACAACCCGTTTCATGTTTGCGCCTTTGAATTGTAATTGATGACTTTTACAAGTTTTTTATACGTCGTCCGGAGCACGGCGCGGCGCTATGACAAAGGTCTTTGGAAATCAACGAGGTAATATGAAGATATAACGATTGCGAATATGGAGTTATTGACATCTTGTTAGCTTTCAGGTTTTGATTTTTGCGTCTTAAAAGTTTGTATGTTGCTACATGATTTACGAGTTCTGATGTAAAGTGCCGACATAAAAGAATAAATTAAGAAACGTTATTAGATACCATTGATCTTATGAGTTTTATTTTGATTTGTATGTATTTTATAAAATTTTATTCATCTCTTACAAAGATTATAATTCATAATTAAAGATATCATCACTTTAATTCATGATGATTAAAAACTGTTATATCTGCAAAGCTTAAAGCTACATATTACTAAAGCCTAATCAGTCGACCTTCGCCCGCGCATTGCTACACGGTGGTGATATAAGCTCATTAAATTATGAACATTCAAATTTATTATTCAACACCTAGCTCAGCACTTGGCGTTGGATCGGCCGGCGCGCAACAATTGTGCGTGACGAGGCGCGGGCGAGGCGCGGGCGATGCTATCGGGATGGCAAATTATCGCGCGGCACGAACCATTAACATTACCTTACATCACTAAAGGGTAAGTAAAGAGTTTTCGCAGACCTATATACTACACTTCGATGTATTAAAATTCTATTATGGTATTCTATCGGGATCACTCGATGCATTTTTATAAAGTTACAATAAACTAGTATTAACACCAATTTCAGAACATGTTTTATGGTAAGCTTAGAGGTAGCGGATAGCGACTACCGAGATTACACTAGCAGCATCGTAGTAGCGGCTAGAGCACACTACCGCGGCCACCCTCCGTCACGAGCCGGCGCGCATCGTAATGAGTGGGCGTTCAAAAGCACAAATAGTACGCACGCACATGTCGCCGGGGACGGAGCGCGGGGCGCGGGGCGGCTCCGGCCCTCCCCCGAGCAACCCGGCACACCATCGGGAACATCCCGCGCCCCGCAAATTCTACCATAAAAACCCTATTATTAGTTATCTTCAAATGTGGGGGACGTAAGAATATAAATTAACTTCTGATTTTTCTTTGAAAACTATACCCTTGTATCTGAACTGTTAGTTATGTGGCGATAATAGGTAATAATTTACACTTATATTTATTTATCCAAATCGTAACTCAGTCCGTATCGGTTTCGGTAGATTTATTTGAGTAGATTTAGATTTGAATAGTAGCACACTTCAGTGTGAGGTACTATGCCAAAGCATGATCCTACGATTCATTTTATTCAATTTTAAAAATCTTTTATAAAACAGACAGATCAAGTATCATACAAGTAAAAATTAAATAGTTTCAAGTTACACGCGCGCCAATTCCCATGCAAACAAAACACAATAAAACCCCGCGGCGAAAATGTCCTGCCGTGGCTGGCAGCGCTCGCAATTCTCGAGGGACGCTGCCAGATTTCCTTTAGATCTCATTGCACGGTAGGACGCCCCGCTGTGCACATGTGTCCTACCGAATATTCACTTTAATTCTCATACAATAGACAATTTGAATCACAATAACATCATTCAATAAAACCATTTAAAAATATTCCTTGTGACTTAGTCGTAAGGTATATTTTCCATTGGCTTTTGCAGTTATTTGATGTTGAGCTTCGCGACATTTCGTACGGGGTCGTTCCCGCAGGCTAATATGTTAAAACTCTACCCATGAACAAGCAAATATCTAAAACGAGTCGTTCGAGACACCCACTATAACCTCCTCTGACGAGCCTAATAAAGTCAAAACAAATTTTTCATCGAAACAAATCAATACAATTTTATTTATTTATTTTTAAATCGTGTAAAATTAAATACAATATCTCACAATTTTTGTGCTAATTACCTTGACACGTGAACCCTATCACTTATAGTATAAAAATTGTGAATATGTAAATGAGATATACAAAACATACATTTCTTGAGCAACTTTTGATAAACATGGTTACAACAGACAAACAGATTCTGCAACTTTATTTTTTTTAACAATTAATCGAAGTTGACGTCTTTATCGTAAAAGAACTTCAATTAATTCGTGTGTTAACAATTGCAAGTTTATTTTCGTTGTCCGAACTAATTAAAGATAATTGCTTTATTACATGGTATTGTGTAGCGTAGGCGCATGATTGAGACATTGCATTGTGGAAACACGTATCAATGGTCAGACAGATCTTGTTTTGCATTACCGGTTATGAACACTATGAAGAAACTTTTATATTTAAACATATTTAACGTACAGGTAAACATAACTGAACTTTACTTTTCTAAATTCATTCAGTTTTATTTGATTTCTTTAAACGGATAGTTCAATAAATTATAACTTAGCATTTTCACTTGCAAAGAAGAGTTAGTATAATTTTATTTTGAATTCACTAACTTCAAAAAATTAACGGTTTAACTCAAAGCAATAAAAAATAATTTTACAGATATGTAAAATAGTATCAAATCTATAACAGTATGTTTATAATATCCACCCACATGTAGACTGGTAGTGTTAGCT